TTATTTAAACACTGATCATAGTTATATTCTCATTTATTTAAACACTGATCATAGTTATATTCTCATTTATTTAAACACTGATCATAGTTATATTCTCAGTTATTTAAACACTGATCATAGTTTTATTCTCATTTATTTAAACACTGATCATAGTTATATTCTCATTTATTTAAACACTGATCATAATTATATTCTCATTTATTTAAACACTAATCATAGTTATATTCTCAGTTATTTAAAATGTCTTTTTTCAAATCTGCTTCATGCTCGTGTTTTAATCGTATGCCACTTAGCTTCTAGTTACCATTCTGTTTTTAGCTTTTGACTAGTCTTCATACTTTTAGCTAACAAAGCCATTTGCTACTCTCAATTTTAATTAGCATTTTGATACCTTTTGGCTTGCATTTTAGCTACTTTTAGCTAACTTGTGTTTAGCTTTTAGTTATGCTTTAGCTATACAGTACCTTTTGATTCTTTTAGCATGGTTTGATAGTTTTAGCTTTCAGCTATCCTTTTGCTACTATAGCTTCTAGCGTCTGTTATTAGACATTTGGGTTTAGCTACTTTTGAGTTTTTTAGCTAGTGTTGTTTGTCTTTGTGTTCTTTGAGCTTTAGCAGTTTCGGCTTCTGTAGATTTCAGCTGTTCAGTAGTAATGCAGAATTTTCACAGAAAATCCAATTAGTTTAGTTAGGAAACCTTCGTGTGCACGCTGCGAGTACAACTCGTAATGAAACCAAAAATTAAAAGTTTAGTAAAAGAACAAACAGGAAGCTGAACTGATCAGTATAGGGAACAGTTTGTCGGGGAATGTCGTGTTTTTTGACAATGGCACATGAAGCAGTAAAACCATCATCATTTAGTGAAACAGTAGGGTGTGATCTGAATGATGTGTAGTGGATCACATCTGGATTCCTTTAGTCCTGCATCAGTTTGAACCCTCTGGTGTGCTGCTGTAACATTTGCCTTTCAAGCAGCTCCATGAAAACATTTCACAAGTCCTCTGGCTGTTGTTCTTTGTACTGAGCTTCTATCAGTTCCATTTTCATTGCTGCATTTTAAAAAGCAGCTTTTACAGCTTCCTCAGTTGCAGTTTCTCCTTTTTTCTCTGAGGATGTGACATCGGTTGTACAATGCAGTGTTTCCCCTGGTTAGCTTGCCATGGCGGGGTGCTCGTCTCGTCCATGATTTTTGCTGATGGGGGACGGAGACATGTCTGAGCACAGCTTGTACTAACAGTTTTTGAGCACGGCGGGGGACGTTCAACATGAGGGAAGAGGCAATGTGAGTGCTGCCTTTGGCTTTTTAGCTAGAGAACCTGTATTCTGTGCCGCTACCTTAGTGATATGTCAGTGCTGGGTGGGGGTGGGAGGGCCAAGTTCAGTTTGGTAGGCAGCGTGCTCAGTTCTGTTGACAGGGTGGGGCACCCTACCTGTATGATGGTAAGGGAAACACTGCAATGGACAGATACCAGCTTGTTGGTTTCCATTTAGGCTGCCCACAGCTCCGAGCTGCGGGCCCCTTTTTTTTCCAAGTCCGTCCTGATAACTCTTCCTATTATTCATCCCCCAAGGGCCCAATAAACTGTTCCTTTTAAATACGTGAATCATACCAATTTAAGTCTTGTTGCAATGCTGTACCTAAATGAGTCTCTTAAAAACTTTTTAAGGCTTTTGCACATTTTTCAATAGAATAGTTAACATGTTGCTTCAATAAAATTTGTTCCATCTATTTACCTGCCTTTCTTTTTTGTGTCGTAGAGGAACTGATGTCCATTCTTTAATAAAGTTGAAAAATAAAATTCAAAGAGTGCACAATAAAATAACTTGATTTTAGAGTTCAGACTGGGGCAGACGTTCTGGGGTTTATTGTACAAACACTGGCAGTCTGCAGACAAATGGGGACTGTCAGACTGAAGACCAGCTTTTACCCTACACCTGAAAAGTTGTAGAGCTGCTAAATGCTGCCTATCTTGGTTTTTAAAGAATAAAAGGTAATTTACAGAGGTGTGTGTGAGTGCCTAGAGTCCTGTTTTTGTTCCCCTTCATGGAGCAAAAAAAAGGGGAATTGGAAATACTCTCCATCCATATTGTGACCATAACTTGAAAAAAACATGTGAGGCACCATTTTCCTTTTTAGTATGTGGCTACATCTAAGTATAAGGAAGTAGGTAATGATCAAAAATTGGGTTGCCATGTCAAAATTCAAGATGGCCACTGCCATATATATACAGACCCTTTCCAAAAAATTAGAATATCATGAAAAAGTTGTTTAACTTCCATAATTCCATTCAAAAAGTTAATATTTAATAGATGATAAATTCAGGGCCCACAATTTAAACATTTTCAAGTATTTATTTGTTTATTTTTACATAATTTGGACTTCCAGCTCATGAAACCCATGAAAACAGGATTTCAATTTTTTTTTTTTACAATACTGTGAAGACATCAGCCCACACTACTCAGTTTTTGCAGAAAAAAAAATAAAAAATAGGATCACAACAAATCAATCAAAATATGGTACTTTCAAAACAATATGTCAATCTTCAATACTTGGTTGTGAATCGTTGGTTACGTACTGTAACCCCAGATTCTATGAGTATTGGCGTAGCCCTTTAAGGCTGTCGCTAGTGGGTTTTATCCCGTCATGCGAAGCATTAAACTGAAAAATTTAGTCCACACCCACCTGCTGTATGGGCCCCACCTGGTCCGTATAAATTACCTTAAGAGCCGGTAATCGGCTCCCAAATAGCTTTTTCTTCAGCCACTTAGGAGCCAGTGAGGCCCGACGCTTAAAGGGCTACACCTATACTCATAGAATCTGGGGTTACAGTATGTAACCAACGTTCTATTTCGTATAGGCTTCGCCCTTTAAGGCTGTCGCTAGTGGGTTAAGGGTGAAGCGGATGTGGTCCTCGCCTCACTGGGTCCATTCGAACACCGTATGAAGCTTGCCCAAAAAGGTCTTGTCACTCAGCTCTCCATGTGCATCGTGATGGGGCCCTCCGACAAAAAAGCCTTCTGCAGCTCCTCCGACAGGGAGGGGAAGTGTCAAGTTGGGTGGACTTCTGCACCATTGTCATCTAGGCTGCAATGCAAGACAAGGCAGACAGCAGACGAGGCGCACAGGTTGAGGGTGATGTCAGACGCCTGCAGATGGAGCTCCTTGTCTCCTGAGGCAGGTCTGTCCCTCCGGCCTCTGAGAAGCTGTACGTTAGCGGCGCTGCGGCCGCCTGGGACGCATGCCGGTGAGCTCGGTTGGAGAGCGACGTCACTGTCTGGTTATGCCTCCCTGGAGGCGCAGGACGCTGGTCCAACCTGGACGTCTTTGCGCCGAAAAATAAACATCCGTCAGGCTCGGCTCAGGGGACACTGAGGGAATTTCCGCTCGGTGAAACCCCTCCACTCTGGTGATGGGCGTGGATGTGGGAACCGGTGCCCTATTCTACCAGGAACCGGCTGCGGCCTCATCCCAGTAGGAAGTCACTGCTGGGAAAACGAGGCCAGATGGGATCAGGACGGGAGCCGGAGTGGAGCCCAGAAACCCTCCCACTAGATCATCCGATCTGGGCGGAGAAGGAGAGGGGACGGCAAAAGTCCCTTCATGTCAGCTGCCTCCTGGATTATGCCGGGCAGCTCCAGAGGAGGGCACCGGCGGCTAGGAGTTGTGTAGTCGCTGATGCAAAACAAGGTGTGTGTGTGTGGGGGAGCATTCGCTCAGGACACTACACTTTCCAGGAGGGAATGAGCAGTGGGGGGCTGCTGCTGACGTCACCTGTCCCGGAGGAACCATCCGATTCACTCCCGAGAGTCAGCGATAAGAGGAAAATTACAAGATGGCATCGTCCAGCGTGTAGTGACCTGCCACTGAGAAATGCTCCTCGGCGCTTACCTTGAAACAAGACTGCTCATCTTCTTCTTCTCGGGGAGGAGAACTCACCGGGACGACAGGAGGTTGATGTGGCGGGTCACAGGCAGTCTTAACAAAGATTGGTCACGCAGACAACTTTCCTTCTTCGTTCTTCTGACAGTGCTATTAGCTCGCTGAAGAAAAATGGGAGCTGATTACCCACTCTTAACGTAATTTATACGGACCGGGTGGGGCCCACACAGCAGATGGGTGTGGACTAAATTTTTCAGTTTATGCTTCGCATGACGGGATAAAACCCACTAGCGACAGCCTTAAAGGGCGAAGCCTATACGAAATAGAACCCTTTGTCTTAGGTCGTTTTTACGCTAGATAGTCCGGTAGACTCTTGTTCGGGACCAGTATTCATGAGCTTTTGTTACATTTGAGCTGGTGCGATGGCATTCACACTGCACTGTGCATTCAAGTCAACCTGTTGAACCAACCTGTTCCCCCGCTCGCCTGTGGGGGCGCTGCATCAAGAACTACTGAAAGAAACTATACAAAAACCTCTGAAGACACGTCATCTTCTTCTTCTGTAAACAAAAATAAAAACAAAGTGGCATCAAATTTTGGCAGTTTTAGGAGTTATATTTTGTCATTTTTCAAAAATGGACTTAGCATGAGCAGAAGATGAGACAGAAGACCATGGAGAATATTGTTTTTCACACAAGGCAGCTGGCGGCTCCATATAAGGTAAGAGCAATGCGTGTTTGTTTATCCTGCGGAGCGGGGCTCTGTCTGTTTACATTCACACTGTACTCGAACCGCGCTGGAGTTCTCTTCTACCGGACCGAGACCTAAGTTTTAGCCCGGGCCAGAGTTCGCCTTTTTGTTCGATGGCGCGTTCACACCTCCCTAAACGAACCGGACTTTCAAGGAAAACGAACTAGAGTTCGATTAAAGCGGACTAAACAGGGCTAGTGTGAATGCACCCTTAATCTCTGCCTCGATGTGACGTGGCATTGAGGCAATCAGCCTGTGGCATTGACTGGAAGTTATGGAAGCCCAGATTTCCTTGATGCTGTCAGCTCTTCTTTGTTGTTAGGTCTGGTGCCCCTCATGTTCCTCTTGAGAATACTCCATAGATTCTCAATGGGGTTTAGGTCCAGCCAGTTGGCTGGCCAGTCAAGCACTGTGGCATGGGCATCAAACCAGATTTTGGTGTTTCTGGCAGCATGGGCAGGGGCAGGTCCTGCTGGAAGATGAAATCTGCATCTCCATACAGATCCTCAGCAGAAGGAATCATGAAGTCCTCTAAAACATTCTGGTAGACTGTTGCGGATTGGATTTAAGAAAGCAGAGTTTACAAACACCTGCACCGGATATTGCACCCCAAATCATGACTGACTGTGGATATTTCACACTGGACCTGAAGCAGTATGGGTTCTGTTCCTCACCCTTCTTCCTCCAAACCCTCGGACCCTGATTTACGAATGAAAGACACACTTTACTTTCATTGGAAAAGAGGACCGAGGAACCCGACAGTTGTAGCCCATCCCCCGGATGAGTCTGAATGTGGTGGTTTTTGAAGCTGTGATTCCCGCCTCCTTCCACACTTTCTGGATCTCTGCCAGATTCTGGATCTTCTCTGTTTGATAATCCATTGAAGCCCATGATCATCTCTTTTGCTGGTGCATCTTCTCCTGCCACATTTTGCCCTTCCACTAGACTTTCCATTGATGTGCTTGGACACAGCACTCTGTGAACAGCCAGCCTCCTTAGCTGTGAACTTTTGTGGTGTACCCATCCTATGGAGGGTATCAATGATGGTCTTCTGGTCAGTGTTAGGTCTGCAGTCTTCCCCATATTGAACTGAACTGAGACAACTGAACCAAACTGAATCAATTTAATGACACCTGGGGAAACGTGCAGGTGCTTTGAGTTTAGTAGATGATTAGTGTCACACTCAGTTTAAAACATTCATGTCCTGGAACATTTGGCCTGATGTCTTCACAGTACTCTTAATTTTTTGAAATTCTGTTTTCATGGGTTTCATGAGCTGGAAGTGCAAGTTATGTAAAAATAAACTAATAAATACTTGAAATTGCTTAAATCGTGGGCCCTGAATCTATCATCTATTAAAGATTAACTTTTTGAATGGAATTATGGAAGTTAAACAACTTTTCCATGATATTCTAATTTTTTGGAAAGGGTCTGTATATGTAAAGTGACCACACCTATCATTTGAGGAAACTACGCTTTCTAGTTTTTATATTAGTTTCCTTTTAAAATGATTGAGATGGTGTAAGATAATTCTATGGTGGCCAAGGCCACCATTGGCCACCCCCTGACTCTGCTGTTGTATTTTTGTGGATAAAACTGCTCCCTCCACTCTCCAGGATCCGTCACTTGGTGCTACCTCAGACAAGAAAAATAAAATAAAACCTCCCTTTGTTCTTTTCCACAGTGTAGCTTCTACCCACTTGAATATCTTGCACCAAAACATTAAGGTTTTCTTGCATTCCCTGCAGTCCAGGAATACACTTATCGACTACAAACATACACTATTCAAATCCCTCAATGGTGGTGGACATCAGTGTACTGCTTGTTACTATCAGTTTCTGAGAAAAATAGTTGGCATTATTCAATAATGGTCAATCAGGTCATCTGGACAGTTTCTTTTTTGTGGAAAGACGTTTCGCCCTGTATCCAGAGGGCTTAATCAGTCTGAGCAGTCCCAAGTAAACTGTTTTCATTCATTCATTCATTCAACCTTTATTTAGACAGGTTAATCCCATTGAGCCTCGAGGACTCATTTACAACAGAGACCTGATTTCAACAAAGAATGATGACAACAATGGACAACAGCAACAACAATAAACAGTTAAAAAAATCATACAGATTTAAAAAAAAAATTATTTTATTTTACAAATAGGATGGCTACAAAAAGAAAAGTAACAAAAACAGCTAGATTTTAAGGTGAATGTAGAAAACTAAAAACCGGAACATGTCTGCATTGGTCCCTGCCAGGAGTCCAACTGATTCTTAAAGCCACTTAGAGAGGTCAAAGGTCGAGAGCTTCAGATCTTTTTACAAGGTATTCCAGGAAACAGGAGCGGAGTAGGAGAAGGCCCTTTTGTCTAGTTCAGTCCTCACTGAGGGAACACTGCAGGTAATGATGTCCTGAGAGCGCACGCTGTAGCTGCACTCACACCAGTTTGCTGGTGATAAGATGGTTGTCCAGTAAAGGAGTGTACTGCTTAGTGGGGAAATGGTTTACTTGGGACTCCTCACACTGATGAGTCCGTCCAGATAGAGGGCGAAACGTCTTTCCACAAAAAAGAAACTGTCCAGATGACCTGATCGACCATTACAGGACTTTGTACCTGGATGAATGAGCATGAACTTTGAAGTTGGCATTATTATTAATGAACAGTGGAGGGCGGCCATATTGAGAGTTGGTTCACCTGTCAAAGCCTCCATGTTGTTATTGTGATGTAACTTGATTTAAAAGGCCTGTTTCAGGGTTGCTTTTCCAACTGCGTTCACAAAGTTTGGGCAGCAGAGTTTGAAGTGCCCACCTCGTTTTCATACTCCCATCCGTTTAACTGAGCTTCACTTGACTCCCAGTAATACAGCACAGGGATCTGATGTGGGAGTGAACGACTCATAAAGACATTGAATGTTTGAGTTTCTGACTGAACCTCCTGTTTTTATTCAGGTCAAGTCTCAGCAGGCTGAGGTGATTCGGATCCTGGACAGTAAAAGCATCCAGTACGAGCTCATCGACATCTCTGTGGGCGGAGAGCTTCGGGACGAAATGAGGAGCAAAGCAGGAGACCCTACTGCTGTCCCTCCCCAGCTTTTCAATGAAGACCAGTACTGTGGGGTGAGAGGACACATCTCATCCGACTCACGAAGTGGTGAAAACATCTCTGCACATTTCCTCTCAGATAACTAAAGTACTTGTGAAAATGCAAACGACTTGAAGACTTGATGTCTTCAGGATCTGACAGTGATGCCAGCAGATGAGCTTTTAATCTAAAACAGTGTTTTAGGTACTTGATTAGTGAAAGAGATGAGAATGTCTGGTTTTATAAACAATGCTGGAGTCCAAAGTGTTTAAAAATAGGAAAATGGGATAAAATAATTGCATACATTGAAATTTGATCTGCCTGAACGGGCAGTGGATGTTTAGTGGATCAGGTGGAACAGATCCTCCATTTTCTAAAGAAGGCCTTTCTGTTTTTACTCTGTTTTTTTCTATTCATTTTTTAAAACTTAAAAACGTTGTCACTTTCAGCAGCATCACAAATGAGTGTAGTGTTTATTGTGGGAATGCTTCAAAGTCATTCACAGTATTTTTCTTCCGTACTTTTTGCAGCTTCTAACTTGTTCTACAATTTCTGTTTAGTTTAAACAATTCATACGTCAAAACTTTCTGCTCATTCAGGACAATTCCTGCTGTGACTTTTGGTATTTAAGCAGTTTTAACTTTTTGAAATATCTATCTTTTTCACCCATGTTTTTCCAATTGAAAATTAATATCCTTCAAACCCTTTGTGCCATTTTTACTGCTCATTTCAGCTTTTGTTCTGGTTCAGCTTCTTACTGCCTTTAACTACCTTTTTAGATATTTTTTTGCTACTTTATCCCTTTTTCTAAAACACATTATTCTTTGTAGACATCTAGTAGAGTGCTGTATGGATGAGGGCCCAGATTGTTGTAAAGAGCTTTGAGTATCTTGATGAGACAGAACAGCTGTATATTCAGTGCGTCACTAAAGTGAGTACACCCCTCACATTCCTACAGATATTAAAGTTGATCTTTTCATGGGACAACTCTGACAAAATGACACTTTGACACAATGACAAGTGTGTCTGTGTGCAGATTATATAACAGTGTCAATTTATTCTTCCCTCAAAGTAACTCTATATACAGCCATTCATGTCTAAACTACCAGCAACAAAAGTGAGTACACCCTTTAGTGAAAGTTCCTGAAGTGCCAATATTTTGTGTGGCCACCATTATTTCCCAGATCTGCCTGAACTCTCCTGGGCATGGAGTTTACCAGAGCTTCACTGGTTGCCACTGGAATCCTTTTCCACTCCTCCATGACGACATCACGGAGCTGGTGCATATTTGAGACTTTGCACTCCTCCACCTTCCACTTGACGATGCCCCAAAGATGTTCTATTGGGTTTAGGTCTGGAGACATGCTTGGCCAGTCCATCACCTTTACCCTCAGCCTCTTCAGTAAAGCAGAGGTCGTCTTCGAGGTGTGTTGGGGTCATCATCATGCTGGAGCACTGCCCTGTGACCCAGTTTCTGGAGGGAGGGGATCATGCTCTGCTTCAGTATTTCACAGTACATGTTGGAGTTCATGTGTCCCTCAATGAAACGTAACTCCCAACACCTGCTGCACTCATGCAGCCCCAGACCATGGCATTCCCACCACCATGCTTGACTGCAGGCATCACACACTTCTCTTTGTACTCCTCACCTGATTGCTGCCACACATGCTTGAGACCATCTGAACCAAACAAATTAATCCTGGTCTCATCCGACCACAGGACCTGGTTCCAGTAATCCATGTCCTTTGTTGACATGTCTTCAGCAAACTGTTTGTAGACTTTCTTGTGCACAGACTTCAGAAGAGGCTTCCTTCTGGGATGATGGCCATGCAGACCAGTTTGATGCAGTGTGCAGCGTATGGTCTGAGCACTGACAGGCTGACCCCCCACTCTTCAGTCTCTGCAGCAATGCTGCCAGCACTCCTGCACCTGTCTTTCAAAGACAGCATTTAGATGTGACGCTGAGCACGTGCACTCAGCTTCTCTGGACGACCACCGTAAGGTCTGTTCTGAGTGGACCCTGCTCTTTTAAAGTGCTGGATGATCTTGGCCCCTGTGCTGCAGCTCAGTTTCAGGGTGGTGGCAGTCCTCTTGTAGCCTTGGACATCTTCATGTAGCGCAACAGTTCGTCTTTTAAGATCCTCAGAGTTCTTTGCCATGAGGTGCCATGTTGGAACTTTCAGTGACCAGTAAGAGAGAGTGTGAGCTGTACTACAAAACTGAACACACCTGCTCCCTATGCACACCTGAGACCAGGTGACACTAACGAGCCACATGACATTTTGGAGGGAAAATGACAAGCAGTGCTCAATTTAGACATTTAGAGGTGTACTCTCTTAGGGTGTACTCACTTTTGTTGCCGGTAGTTTAGACATGAATGGCTGTATATAGAGTTACTTTGAGGGAAGAATAAATTGACACTGTTATATAATCTGCACACAGACACACTTGTCATTGTGTCAAAGTGTCATTTTGTCAGAGTTGTCCCATGAAAAGATCAACTTTAATATCTGCAGGAATGTGAGGGGTGTACTCACTTTTGTGATACACTGTAAATGCAGTCCATTACCTTTTATTTATTTATATATATATATATATATAGATATATATATATATATATATAGATATAGATATATATATATATATAGATATATATATATATATATATATATATAGATATATAGATGTATAGATATATATAGATATATATCTATAGATATATAGAAAGTATAGGGAAGTGATCCAAGATGGCGCCATGTACGGTCGCCCTGGCATTCTGGTGCGCTCTGTTTTTTCTGTTTTTGTGCGTTAATCATGTGTCTGCATGCTCCTACACTCGCGAGGAGCTACTAAACATCAGAATTACAACCCATGAGGACATTACTCCAGTTTTTTTTTAGTGCCTGCTGCAGAACTTGTGCACTTTTTGGCCAAAAGAGTGAGACTTCGCAGGAGAGGCAGAAGAGCTGGAGCGCTCGTGCATCTCCGGAGGCGCGGTACACGCATGCCTTTACCTGGGATATTTCTCTCCAACATCCGTTCCCTCTACAATAAAATGGACGAGATAGCGCTGCTGATGAGAAGGAACAGCGATTTTTCCTCCTCCTGTGTGCTGTGCTTCACGGAGACATGGCTCAACGAGCAGACCCCGGACTCCACACTCCATCTCGAGGGTTTCCAGCTCCTCCGCTCTGACAGACAGCAGGAACTTTCCGGAGGAAAGAAGAAAGGCGGAGGAGTCTCTCTTTTTATCAACAACGCCTGGTGCTCCGACGTGACAGTGATCTCCCAGCACTGCTCTCCTTCTCTGGAATATCTTTTCATAAACTGCAAACCGTTTTACTCTCCACGTGAGTTTACTTCATTTATTCTGGCCGCTGTTTACATCCCCCCGTGCACGGACGTGCACGAGGCTTAGCGCGCGCTCGCGGACCAGATTACGAGTGTAGAGCGAACTTTTCCGGACTCCCTTGTTATCATCCTTGGAGATTTTAACAAAGCAAACCTCAGGCATGAACTACCTAAATATAAACAGTTTATTAAATGCCTGACCAGAGAAGGAAACACGCTGGATCACTGTTACACCACAGTGAGCGGTGCTTATCGTGCTGTGCCTCGTGCTGCCCTGGGTCTCTCAGATCATGAGATGATTCACCTCATACCTGCATACAGACAGAGACTGAAGCTCTCAAAACCTGTGGTGAGGACATCCAAAAAGTGGACCAGTGAAGCTGTGGAGGAGCTACGCACGTGTTTGGACACCACAGACTGGGACCTGTTCAGGGCTTCTACAGACAGTCTAGACGAATACACAAACACTGTGACGTCATATATACATTTCTGTGAGGACAGCATCATCCCATCACGCTCCAGAGTCATTTTCAATAATGATAAACCCTGGTTCACATCCAAACTAAGACAGCTTCGTCAGCAGAAGGAGGTTGCTTTCAGAGAGGGGGACAGAGACAACTACAGACGTGCGAAGTATGGATTTAGCAGGGAGGTGTCGAAGGCTAAATCCAGGTACAACGCACGGCTGGAACAACAGTTCTCTGCAAACGACTCTGCCTCTGTCTGGAGGGGGCTGAAAGAGATCATTCTACAGACAATCTCAAACTGGCAAACGATCTGAACGACTTCTATTCACACTTTGAAGTCATGGACTCACATTCCTCCATCCTCCACACCAACCCCAGCTCAACTGGTTTAACCACTTTGGACTGCCCCCGACAACCCCCTGCTATCTCTGTACAAGAGGATGAAGTAAGGAGGCTTTTTAAAAGGCTGAATACACATAAGGCTGCAGGCCCAGACCTTGTGTGACCCTCCACGCTGAGACATTGTGCTGGAGAGTTGGCTCCGGTCTTCACAGGGATCTTCAACTCTTCTCTGGAGTCATGCCACGTCCCAACCTGTTTAAAGTCCTCCATCATCGTCCCTGTCCCCAAGAAGCCACGTGTCACAGGACCAAATGACTATAGACTAGAGGATGACACAGGAGTAGATTTTCACTCCTGTCCTGTCCTGGTCCAACAGAAAAAAATCCTGTCCTGTCCCAATCCTGGTCCAGAGTAAAAAAATTAATCCTGTCCTGTCCTGCTCCTGGTAACATGACTCCTGCTCCTGTCCTGCTCCTGGTCAGAATCACTCCCACTCCTGTCCTGCTCCTGTTTTTTTTTCCTCTTCATTTAATTTTTAAGAAATGCATTGAATTTGAATTGATTTTCTAACCATTCCTTTTTAAATTACTTTGTGTTCTGCAGTTTGATTTCAAAAGATATGGCAGGAAGAGTTAATCTGTGGTGAAATATGGAGGCATGTATTGCCTTAATTCAAACAAAAACCTTGACTAAAGGTCACAAAACAAATCCATGGCCTGTAGTCCTTATAGTTTTTCTACAGAGGATCAGCTGCTGAGTCTGTTTCTGGCTTTTTTGAAGGTCAGTTACAGTAAAAACAAAAAATGAAAACCAGTACATGGGTCACACCATGTCTACCTTAGATGAAAGAACCCAAACAGAACAAATAGAAGTTGCTTTTTACTAATTTATTGAGCAATTGTTTCCTTCCCTTTAGACAGTAACGTTCCTGTCATGGTTTAAATTGC